CCGACACATTTTTTTTACTTCTCGAGGCTGACCGGATAAGTGCCTCCTGTTCTTCCAATGCAATGATATTTTGCTCCGCATGCTCTTGGACCGTTAACTGTGGGTTGTTTTCCAGCTCCGCTTCGTAGCGTGACACCTCGTTGGAGGCCTCAGTAAGGGCCCGCTTACATGCATTATAGTGCAACAGACGACGGTTGTACGCATCACGTCCTTCCTCGTCAAGAGTCTCATATTCCTCTTCTGTAAGGGGCAACGTTATGGCCGCCTCCGCAATTTCACGACATTTCTTCTGTACGTCAAGGCTACGCCGAAGCCCGGTTGTTGCCTCACTTACACCGAGAGAAATGATCTGCAGTGTCCTTCCTGTTACAGAAGCCGCTCTTTCGATGGCAATCAGTACCGCCTCCCGATCCTCGGTAAGAATGGACCTGAAATCATCTATCACCACATCCGTAACGGAACTTAACGTAGAAAGATGACGCAGTAAAAGTGCATGCAGAATTTTTACCTCGTTTGACTTTACAATTCTGTCCACCACCACCACTGGAGATGGGGATCTAGCGACATCCTCAACGACCCGGGGCGTACGATTCTCTTCTCGCTCCGAAAGAATGGTGCGAATAAGTTCCCCCTCCGCTGTGTCAAATTCAGCTTCGGCACGTACCATGGCATCCAGGTCAAGCTGGGACACGTTTAATTTCTCCACTAACCGCCGTATTTGTGTTGTCTTTCCTGAAAACGGCGGCCCTGTGATGACCACAATTTGTGGCTTGACCTTGGAGATAGGTTGGGTTGGGGGCACGTCACCTGCGGGGATCTCTGGGGTGCGTGGCAGTGATGTCTGCAGCTCCGACCGCGCCTGCGAGGCTCGTCTCCGTCGTGACGAGAGGCAACTCCCAGTACGCAATTCACGCTGAAAATCGATTTCCAACCCATCCGTATCCCTGTACTCAAGAGCCCGCTCCTCTCGTTGAAGCTCCGTAAAAAAGAAATCCAGAAAAGGTTCCGGCAGAGAATCACCGGCCTCTCGAATGGGCAGATGAATCTCGCCTTCACCTCCGGAGTTTGATTTTTGCGTCGCCAGGGCACGTTGCAGAATGCCGACACATACACGATGCTTCTCATCAAAATTTTTGCTAAACACCTCCACAGGTCGATCCTCGTTGTTTTTAATGGTAAAGCAGTGTTTCACGGTCTGGCATGGAAACACCGTTGGAAAAACCAGTTGGGATGGAGACAGCTCCACATTTACTCCCACAACGTTGCCTTTTAATACCACGTATTGCTCTTCCGGGTTTGAGGCGTAGCGTAGGCGTAATTTGGTTTTTGCAGGGCCAAGAATAAAGGACATGAAACTCACCATAATGCTCATGCCACACTGAGGAGGGAGCGTTCCTCGTTCTTTATGAACCTTGAACTGCCGTCTGGAGGCAACAACAAGAGGAGGGTTAACAGGATTCGCGGTGTCGATCTCCTTTTTTGCACCGGGCTTCTGCTTAGGCTCAATCAATGTCATTCGCCATGTACATGGTATATCCTCCTTATTGTAGAAGTGAAGCGGAAGGTTCTTGACTCGTCCAAGAAGCATATCACCAAAGTCAAGCACTGTTTCACACGGTGTTAGTGCTGGCGTCGCAACAAAACAACGCACCTCAACTAAAATGCGCGGTCCTTTATGAATATCCAAGAAGAACTCCAATTGATTTGCGCCATTTGTAACGTTTCCAGTGTCGCCAAAGAAGAGAGTGAGCGCTATTTTAGTCTCTGAAAATGGAGATATTGTGGGTATCTTTCGCGGCTCTACACACAATGGCCCTGGCTCCATCACCTGCTTGTCCAGTATGACACCCACGGGGTAAATGGACGTATTGACCAGTGACACATTGATGGTACGCACATCCAACCGCGTTATGTGCCCAAAGTCAATAACATACCTTGCGAGAACACCCCTCTCCCTTTTCGAAGTATCCGCACGAAATTCCTCAATATGTTCAGTCACGGAAGCCCCCGCTGTTAAGTTCGTTGCTGCAAGAAGCAGATTACGACAGTACGCCTGCCGCTCCGCCTCCAGTACAACAGGGAGCACATTCGGTGCTGCACACGGGAAGCCAGACTTCTCAAGGTACGGCACCCACTCCTTGTCCTTGAGTTCTTCCATGCAACGAAGGTATTGTGAATCTTCTATACGGTTCAGCTTCACATGTTTGTCGGAAGTAGACAACATGATCGTGTGTGCTTGGCCCAACCCCCGAACTGTGATGAGTTGTGGGTCAAGATGACCAACCTGCACGAAGAATGTCTCTACAACCTCATCCGGAACCATCGGGCAAAACGAGACGGTCAAAACGACTTTATTGCTTACCACACCCTTCATGGGCCTCACCACTATCGATCCAGGTTGTTTGAGTGCGATAGTGTTCACAGTAAATGGAACGGCAACGCGAGAAGGACTGAAGATGGAGATGGTCTTATTCGCCCTTTCCAAGTAATGCATCACACCAAAATCAAGACTTGTGGATTCAAACCGTACGGTGACATCACTCCAACCAATGAGACTCACATTGTAACTTGGTCCCCCTTTTAAAGTACATGTTGCCGTGGCATCATGTCGACCTCGGGTGCCGTAAAAAACAGCCTCAACAACACGTTTTCCTCCTGGAGGAATTACCCCCCGAAAGGGAACAAAGTCAAAACGCTTCTGATCTCGCTGTGGCTGCTCCGAAGGGACCTCGCTGCGGTACTCGATACTCCAATAAAATTCAGCCGGAACAACAGGTGACAAGTTTGTAAGAGTAAGCTCTGAGCGTCCCTCCGTATTTGTAAGAATAGAGCCGAATTTTACTTGCCGGTCCTCTGGTTCAATGCGGATGGATGGGAATGCAATATTGGCCAACAAGCTCACATACTCACTGAAGGGATGATTGGCGAATGCAACCAATATCCTACCCTTCGCCGTGTGAGCGACATTGTCGTGACGGTAGCAGGCGTCACAGTTGACGGCAACAATTTGCGTTTCACCGCTCATAAGAGTGAAGGATTTTGGGCTGACCAACGTGAATGGAGAAGCTGCCTCACCTGATTTCTCCACGCGTTTGAGTGTCACATCCAGAGATTGAGTTGTTGTGTTCTTCATGGTAAACGTCTTCATTATGACCGCATTTCCCGTTTCACCCTCTGCGCCGTAGACGTAATCAAAGACAATCCGTTTCTTGCTGTAGGCAATGACAGGCAAAACAAAGTTCCCAGTGACACATGTGGTGAATATCAGTCGGAACTCCTTCTTATCCTTCAAAAGAAATTCTTCCGTGAAAACCCCGGCCTCATCTACCAAGCCTTGGACAGTGAAGGTGCAGCTGTTTCCGGCGCCAATCACAACAGTCTCAGGAACGATGCGGAACACAGGAGATAAACCGCCCGCCCTTGCACGAGCGCCACTCCACAACACCTCAACATCCCGCCTCCCTTCATTACGTAAGAGAATGTTTTTCTCCGCCATCGTCGAAGTAAAAACGTCACCAAAATCAATTTTCTCAATGGGGCCGATGGGAACCAAAGCATATCCCTTACCGTTTGCGGTAACAGAAACAAACAGCGGATCTTCTTCAGCGTGCCTCACAATTATTTG